ATAGTGAGATTATATGAAGCCTTTAGATTTATGATTAATATATATTCATGCAGAACAGACATGAGTCCACATGTGTAGTTAAATGGAATAAAATAGTGAAAACCCACATGTGCAACCACTGAACTTCACTGTATTTCATGGAACACGTTGCTGCTCATTTGACAAAGTGTTTGTTTGTTATCAAAACCTCTGTTTGCCCAGAATTCCCCTCAGGACGTCTTATTAACGTTGTAGTCTTTGTTTAAAATCAAGATAAACTCTGCAATTATTGACAATTCTGCATTTCTTGTGGTGAGGAAGTGTCACTGGTGACATTGTTTTCAGTGGCAGTGGAAAGTTTTCCTGCTGCCGATGTAGTAAGGTGATTGGATCAGTGTGGAGAGATTTAGATTTTCCACAGACTAGTTGTCCTCCACAGAGCAGATTCACATTAAACAAATACAAACACAGCTCTGATACAACAGTCCTGTAACAAGGCCACTGAAGTATTGACTAGAGAGCAGCTCAGTTGTGACCCCTCACCTCTGCTGACATCAGTTCACCAGCCTGCCTTTTGCTTGTCAGGTGTGTGGTTCAAGAGGGTTGTCAGCTCCTCGGAAGCTCCCATGTCCTGTACACTGTAAAGCTCGAGTCGTATTTATGTCTTTAGACAACGACTCGACATGCACGTCAATCATAAAACATCTGTGTATGGAGACACAGTGATTAGAGGCTACAATTTAGAACTGATTGTAAAATTATGGGAATTGGTTTCATTAGCCATTCAAGCACCAAAGGTTCTAAGTTGTTGTTCCCAGTTGAGGTGAACCAAAACTAATTTTTCAGGTTTTGTGTGTTGCATATAATAAAACAGTCAGACCACCATCTCCCACCTCAAGCTCTGTGGCTTTAAATACACACGTTTTCTGTGTTTGTTCAGCTTGCAGGGTATTGCTCAAATACACTTGGCAAGATTTTCCTCTTTTGCACGATAGGATTTGATTTGATGAAAGATACTACTAAGTGGCATGATGGGTCATGTTAAATGTAAGGATAAACCAATACAAAGCATCAAATCAGCTCTTGCACTCAGCACATACTTTTGGCATGAGTACTAAAGAGTGTTCCAACAACCTCTCGCGACTCCTTTGCAATAAAGACACAAAAAAAATGTTCATTTATGTGAATTTATACTTTTTGCAACAGCTCAATTAGAATCTACTGTATTTCTGTACCAGTAATGTGATTATTATTTAGGAAACCCATGAGAACACGATTTGATATTTATGTAACCGCAGCAGTTTGACTTGTCTGGGCTCGTCTAACAACCAGACTCATGTCGATTAGTCTCCGACAGAACAATGCTTTCTTTTATCAAAAGAGCTTCATTCACACGCTCTAAAGTTGAAGATCAAGTATTGATAACTTACTGTGATGTTGCTGCATGTTGCGCAGCTTTTTCCACTTTTTCTAAAATATGTTTCCCAAGAGTTTTCCTATTGTCTGATCCTACAGAATCATTTGCATTGCTTCGGAGATAAAAACATTTCGTTGCATCTGCTCTCTGTTGCAGGATCAAGATGACCTCTCTCTCTATTGGCTGCCTCAGTGGAAACTCTGATACAATGCACACCATTTTATTAAGCCGCCCAGCCACAACCTGTGTCGATTCCCAAAGCTGAGGTTCACTGCAAAGGTTCAGAACTGCCAGAAGGAACGATATTCACAGGCTTCCCCTTTAAAATTGCTTTGTATAAATAATAATGTGCAGATAAATGTTGATGATTAATTTGTTTCCCACCCATCAAAAAACATTTTCAATGTTAGTTGTGAGAAAGTGTGTCAAAACTTGATTTAAAGTGCAATCAGGAAACAACGGCCCTACTCTCAGAAATTAACTGTTTAACAGCCACGTTCAAACATGGCTGCCACCATGGAAGTGGCAGACGTCGCCGTCGTGGCAATCTACTTCATCCTGGTGCTTGCGATTGGCTTCCTGGCCATGTGGAAAGCCAATCGCAGCACAGTTAGCGGTTACTTCCTCGCAGGGCGCTCCATGAATTGGGCGGCTATCGGAGCGTCTCTGTTTGTCAGCAACATAGGAAGTGAGCATTTTATTGGACTTGCTGGATCCGGCGCTGCTAGTGGGTTAAGCGTTGCTGCATGGGAGTTAAATGCCCTGTTATTGCTCCAATTGTTAGGCTGGATGTTCATCCCTGTCTATATTCAGTCAGGGGTTTACACCATGCCAGAGTATCTGTCCAAACGCTACGGAGGGAGACGACTGAAGGTGTATTTTGCAGTGTTGTCTCTCGTCCTCTACATCTTCACCAAGCTGTCCGTTGACCTCTATGCCGGAGCCTTGTTTATCCAGGAATCACTGGGGTGGAACCTCTACTTGTCAATCATCCTGCTCATCACCATGACCGCTTTTCTGACGGTCACTGGAGGTTTGGTCGCCGTCATCTACACAGATACAGTCCAGGCTTTCCTCATGATCAGCGGAGCACTGTGTCTCACCGGCATCAGCCTCGTCAAAGTGGGAGGACTTGAAGGTCTGAAGTGTATTGAAGTTTTATCATTTAAACCATGTTCCAGTGTACTTTCCTATTTGTTAACCAAGTCCTTCCATGTAAATTTAAGGGGTAAGAATCAAGTACATGCAGGCGTCACCAAACATCACTGCCATCTTGCTGTCTTCACCCAATCTGACGTATTCTGAATCCTGCCACCAACACCTCAACCCAAAACCAGATGCGTTGAAGATCCTTCGAGGACCAAGGGATCCAGACCTGCCCTGGCCTGGTTTTTTGCTGGGCCAGACTCCTGCCTCCATTTGGTAATCGTCCAAGACTTTTTATGAAGTCGTAGTGTTCCAGTTCTGCGTAGAATTATATCAAACTATTCATGGTCTCCAGAAGACGTGTCCCATCAGCTTTGTCATAATGCAGCTTGACTCTGTTGCAGACTAGTTGCCTCTAATGACCCTCACTGTGTGTTCCAGGTACTGGTGTACAGATCAAGTGATTGTACAGCGGGTTCTGGCAGCCAAGAACATCGCCCACGCCAAAGGTTCGACCATCATGGCCGGCTTCCTGAAAATCCTGCCGATGTTTGTCATCGTCATCCCAGGTAGAAACATTGATTGATTTTTTAACCACCTTGAGTCCTGGCTGTTAATAATAAACGTCTGATTAATTTCTCATCATTATTCTAGGGATGATTTCCAGGATCTTCTTTGCTGATGAGTTGGCGTGTATCAGTCCAGAGCACTGCATGGAAGTGTGTGGCTCTGCAGCTGGCTGTAGCAACGTGGCTTACCCGCGGCTCGTCATGTCCGTGATGCCGGTCGGCCTCCGCGGCCTGATGATGGCTGTCATGATCGCAGCTCTAATGAGCGACTTGGACTCCATCTTCAACTCAGCGAGCACCATATTCACGCTGGATATTTACAAGATGCTACGGAAGAAGGTGTCCTCAAGAGAGCTGGTGATAGTTGGAAGACTGTTTGTGGTTGTCATGGTGATCATCAGCATTGCGTGGGTACCCGTCATCATTGAGATGCAGGGAGGCCAGATGTTCTATTACATCCAAGAAGTATCAGATTACCTGACTCCACCTGTAGCTGCTATCTTCTTGCTTGGAGTCCTGTGGCGTCGCTGCAATGAGACAGGGGCCTTCTGGGGTGGGATGGTGGGGTTCACCATTGGAGCGCTGCGTCTGGTGCTCGCACTTGTTTACCGTGAGCCACTCTGTGACCAGCCCGACGAGCGGCCATCTTTCATCAAAGATGTCCATTTCATGTATGTGGCGGTCATCTTGTTTTGGTTGTCAGCTTTAGTCGCTATTGTTGTGAGTCTCTGCACTGCTCCACCCACAAAAGAACAAATCAGAACAACGACTCTGTGGGGGTTGAACAAGAGAAAGAAGCTAAAACAGAAAGAAAAGGCGGAAGAAGACATGCACACTTTGAAGCCTCTTTACCATGGAAACCTAAATGGAGACAGTGTTCTTCGTAAAGCAAATTGCACAGACCACCTAAACAAGCACAATGGCATTGAAACCAATCATGAAAATGCTGAATCATTTACTGTCCAGTCAATCCAGAATGCTTGCTTTACAGTGAATACAGACCCCAAAATGGCAGAAGGAGACGGAAGAGGAGGGAGGAATGAGGAGGAGGAAGAGGGGGGCTGCTTTGAGGCAGGAGGAGCGGAGACAAGGAGGTACATGAAGGTTTTAGAGTGGGTGTGTGGCTTCAAGGAGAAAGCGTCCGGAGATCAGGTCATTACAACTGAGGAACAGGAGAGGATGGTAGATGAGCTTCTCCATGAACCTCAGCGAATCAGAATCATCCTGAACATAGGGATGGTGCTTATTTGCTCTGTGGGGATTTTTTTCTTTATCTATTTCTCCTTATAGGCTCCATTAACTCCAAATCATGGGCCTGGGTAATGAATTACTTTCACACATTAGCAAAACACCCAGGGAAGCTGGAGCACCCCACTATCTGCTGTGATCTATCATGTACTTCATCAACATTAGTAAACACATTATCATTCCTTAGCAATAAACGATATGTGTGTCTTCCAGCGAAGTGTAAGCTGTCTTCTGAGGTAGATGTAACCTAGGGGGCTCTGGAACATGTCCAGTGCTTTGCTTACTGGCAGCTGCTCAGCCAATGATGTTTCACAACCAGAGTTTGGTGCTTGAGTTTATTCACATAACATACTGGGGTATTTTCCCCTTAAAGTTCAATTATGCTCAATCTTAGACATGTGCATGGAAAGGGTACGAGCCTTACATCCTAACAACTAATGCTAATAACCTTGAATATTTCTGGCCACGTTTTACAGTTTTGTGCAGGGAATTTGTGAACGCACTACATTTTGATTTAAAATCTCACTTCATTGGATGTGCAATGACACCACAGGGTGCTGTATGCTCACGTTAGCATGCAAATGCTTTTCATGATATGGACATTCGTAGTGAATGTAACTTTGCCTTAAATTTGATTTTACTGGGCATGTATAACTCAACCCTATTGTGTTTTATAAATCTTTTTTTCATGTTTTGTACCTGAAAGAGCAGTAATTTTCAACTCTATATATAAGGTTAGAGATAATACCTTGTTATTACAGCACATGAATGATGTATTGTACATTTGTTACTGTTCAAACTGTTGAAAGGTGATGCAATGTTTCCTGAGCTGCACAAATAAGCATTTAATGTGATCTTGTCCTTGTTTTTTCTACTCTTTGTACAACTCGAACACTGCCTTCAACTCAAATACCTTTTAGTGAATGAACGAAAACTATAAAATCACCTCAGTGACGGTTCAGGATGAACTCTATGAAAACAGGCGGAGGAAATACACTACAAAAAGGTGATACTAATATAGTCCATGCAATTCAAATGTGTCTTCCTGTATTTGTCGGTAGAGTTTTTACATCTGTTTTGCACAATTTAAAAATAAAAGGTTGGAACTACCTCAGTCAGTCTCCTGTCATTAAATGTCTGAGTTGCTGCTGCTCACTGTATTTGTCTCAGTTGAACTTGACTCCTTGTGGCACCCGCAGGTCATCTCCTAAAGGAAAGCAAACATCTAACAAAACTGGTCGTTCTGCTCCATTTAAAGCCTCCACCAGGATGTGTTCATGAGGGCTATTGTACGTCAAACATTGTAGAGTGTTCATAAAACCACCTGCTCGACCTCGTCTGCTTTCTCTGAACTGATGTGCTTGATTGAGGATGTCCTGTAGTTTTAAAGACCTCTGTGAATGCAGAAGCAAAAAGTGAACGTTATTAAAGTAAAACTTGCTTAACAACTGATCGAGTGAGGCAGTTACATGTCATAACCCGCTGGTCATGGTATGCAAAGTAGATTTCCCATAGGCTACTTAAAAGCTCCACAGATAGCAAACATGCTGCAGCTTAGTCAGTTGAGATGTCATTGCCAAACAGACTCTGCTGCAGTGGAAAGTTACAGACTGGAGCTGGAAAGTTACAGGGTAAACCCATCCCACACGAGGTAACTGCAAAAAAATTACAAGAATGGCTGCAGTCTTTTTTTTCTTTCTGTCTTTGACTTCAGGGAACGTTTATCCCTCAAGGAAACAGATGATCGTCAAACTAAAGTGGAATAAAAGTCAGAATGAATGAAGGTACACAAGTAATTAAAGGAGAAAAATTATAAATAAAGTGATACTACTTTGAGTACAGGAAAGGAACACTGCAAATATCTCAGCTATAGACAGAATATAAAGATGGACGACAGGGCTGCTCTCTCAAAGTGAAGCTCTAAGTCGCCACCTGGTGGCTGACTGCAGTATTGGTCATAAACCCTGCCTCCTCCATGTTAATGCGGTATCATAAACACAAGATAAAGGCTGAATCAAAGAGAAATGTTTTTCTTTGTATGCTTTGAACAAAAGTAAAACTACATTCCCCATCATGCAACCCAGCTACCAGTCAGCAGCATTAGGGAGAATATTTTGTTGAAGAATTAAACCCATAATAACAAAGATTATATCAGAGTTTACTCTTGTATGTACTGGTTAGTAACGTCTTATCTATGTGTGGACACATCACCAGTCTCTGCATGTATATGAATAAGCATTGCTATTATTTATTTGTATTATTTTATTATTGTTATTATCTCAATTATGTCCAGATTAATCTAAACATTAGTTTTACCTCAACCAGATAAGATATAATTGCATGTTTCACACTGCAGGTGTATTGAAGGCACATGTGAAAGGGGCTAAAAGGTGACTGAATATATCATATTATCTGAAATAGTATTAGTGTCGATGCAGGGTGACTTGCTGTGGATTTTCTGCTCTGTGAGGTCTGTTCTTATTCCTTGATTTTCTCTTAAAATGAACTAATCAGCTCCTGTGATGCGTTCAATTTGAAAATATAGATGATATTCATTCCTAAATATTCATCTGTTGCTAGAAGATTTTTAGAATCAGTTTTTCTTGAAACGTGCACTTGTCTGCAGATTAAGTTCACATTTTACACATCAAATTGATCTGAAAGGAATAATTTAAACTATTACAACTTGATTTCCTTAAACTCTGCAGTCTAAGTTGTAGCATGAAGAAATTATTCTGCAATGAGACCATGGCATCATTTCATTACAAAGTGTATATGGGTGTATATCATATTCAGTGTAAACCTTTTCTCAAAGCAAATCATATGGAATATAAATGTGTTGTATTTAAATCAGGCTGAAGCAGTAATAGAACATAAACTGTGAATTCTGACTT